TTTTTTTTTTTTGTGTTTCCCTTTCCCCCTTTTCATACAAGTGGGGAAAGCCTTCTAAACTAGCAGCCAACTTTTTGGATCACCTATCACATGCCTTATTATCTGTGCATATCTATTTATGAGGCCTTTCCAATCATAAGTGCTGTTGTTATAACGTTGCTCCACTTATTCCTACATTCAAAACGTGTTAAATCGAATTGAATCGCATGACTAGTTGCTTCTTGCATGGTGTGCTGTGATTCCACGATTGGCATGACAAAAGGACATTGAGACAGCTGTTCCCAAATTCCCTATCACACCCCCTTCCCCAAACTTAATTAACTTTTACACGCCCCAGAAGTAGAGTCAAAGAAGGGGTCTGGCGATGCGGCCAGAGGCTCCGTATGAAAGTTAATTTGGGCGGAGCCTCCTGAAGCCAACCCAAGCCCATACTGCATCCGTTTCCTCGAAATTCTCTAACTCTGCTCCACAAATAACTCTCTAATTGCTCAAAAACTAATCTCACTCTGACTCACAAACTAACTCTCTAATTGTCCACAACTAAACTCTCAAATCTGCTCCACAAACTAATCTCTAACTCTGCCAAACAAACAAACTCTTAACTCTGTTCCAAAACTAACTCTCTAAACTCTGCTCCACAAACAATTTCTACCTCTGCTCCACAAAACTAACTTTTAACTCTGCTCCCCCAAACTAACTCTCTAACTCTGCTCCACAACAACCTCTATTGCTCCCAAACAATAATAACTCGCTCCAAAACAACTCTCTAACTCTGCTCCACAAAACTAATCTCAACTCTGCTCCACCAAGACAAGTATGAAGCGCTTATTTCCAGCGGTGAGGTTGGCCAGTACATGCTGTAACATAGTTTGTGTCCCGGCGCCTGCAGACACGAGGGGACACGCCCGATACAGCGTGAGAGGGCAAAACCCAACTTTACCAGCGGCCCAGTGTAGAACGAGAGAAAACCGCAGGCCAGTGTAGAACGAGAGACAACCCAGCAGGCCAGTGTAGAACGAGAGACAACCCAGCAGGCCCAGTGTAGAACGAGGGGACAGCCCAGCAGGCCCAGTGTAGAATGAGAGACAACCCAGCAGGCCCAGTATAAAACGAGACCGCAGCAAGCCCAGTGTAGACGAGAGAAGACACCCAGAAGGCCCAGTGTGAACGAGAGACAACCCGCAGGCCCAGTGTAGAACGGAGGAGAGGCCCAACCCCAGCAGGGCCCAGTGTAGAACGAGAGACAATCCAGCAAGCAGCCACCGACAAACCGAACCTGCCATTGATGACCCGTAACCAGCCATGACTGACGACCCCAGCTCGAGTAGAGAGGGACGAACAAACCCTGCAGGAAAGAGCCTGACGAACGAACCCTGCTCGGAAAGAGCCGGACGACGAACCCTGCTCGGAAAGAGCCGGATGAACTGCTTTATTAGTTGCCCCGGTTGCCCATAGTTGCCTGTAGCCCTAAATCCTAGACCAGGGTTTCTTCAATTCCGGTCCTGGAGGGCCGAAACACTTCTGTTTTTTATTTCTACCTGGTAGTTAATTGCACTCACCTGGTGTCCCAGGTCTGAATTAGCCCCTGATTAGAAGGAGAGGATGAAAAACAAGGTGTCTCGGCCCTCCAGGACCGGAATTGAAGAACCCTGTCCTAGACCTTTTATATGTTTCTAATCGGGCCATAGTGATACTGTGTACTGTTGTAAAAGCAGAATTTATAATAAAGAACCTTTTGATTATACTTTGGCCTGTCTCTAGTGAGTTTGCCGTGGGATTCTAGAACTCAGCTTGTAACACACACATTAGGCATAGCTGAAGTTAACATGGCGTGTGTCTGGGGAGATGGAAGTCAACTCAGAAAGTGTTGGCCGAACAGCTGATGTGTCAGCATCAGCCAATCAAATAGTTAATCTATTAGCTGCCGACCAAGTCAGCATTAGTGTGTAGAGTGCAAGTGTTTCAGTAATTGAAATACAATATCCATAATGTGAAGGCAGCAGAATGAGAGTACATCTAGAGCAGAAGTCAGACGGTCACACTCACTTCTGACAACACCTAATATAAATGAATGTGGCCATGATCTGACATGGGCCGCATGTTAGTAGCAGGTGTCAACTGGGTCACGGAGTCTCCTATATATCCAGATATTAGTGTCATATTGTCAATGGCTGAGGTGAATGTGGTGTGGGAGTCAGGCGCAGGACACCGAAGCTTAGTCCAACAAAGTTTACTAGTGCAACACAAGGCACAATACAAATGAACGGCCTCAACATAAACCAGAGGCGAGCGATTACGCAAACTCTGCGTAAACTACAAAAACAACAAACAGAGAAAACACGCAGCACTAACGGACAGGCGAATAACAACACACAAACTAACCAACACAAAACAGGCAACTTATAGGACACATAATCAGACACAAACGGACACAGGTGCAATAGACAGACAAAAGCAATCAAACACTGAAACATCTAACAGTGGCAGCTAGTACTTCCGGGGACGGCGAACGCCGAAGCCTGCCCGAGCAAGGAGGAGGAGCAGCCCTCGGCAGAATCCGTGACAGTACCCCCCCTTGACGCGCGGCTCCAGCCGTGCGCTGACCCCGGCCTCGGGGACGACCAGGAGGACGCAGAGCCGGGCGCGTGGGATGACCACGGTGGAACTCAGTCAGGAGAGATGGATCTAGGATATCCCTCCTAGGCACCCAGCACCGTTCCTCCGGACCGTACCCCTCCCACTCCACGAGATACTGGAGACCCCCCCATCCGACGTCTCGAGTCCAAGATGGTCCTGACTGTGTACGCCGGAGCTCCCTCGATGTCCAGAGGGGGCGGAGGGGTCTCTCCTATCTCACCTTCTTGGAGTGGACCAGCTACCACCGGCCTGAGAAGAGACACATGGAACGAGGGGTTAATATTCTTATAATCAATAGGCAGTTGTAACCTGTAACACACCTCGTTCAATCTCCTCAGGACTTTAAAGGGCCCCACAAACCGCCGACCCAGCTTCCGGCAGGGCAGGCGGAGGGGCAGGTTTCGAGTCGAGAGCCAGACTCGATCTCCCGGTGTGTACACCGGACCCTCACTGCGGTGGCGATCGGCGCTCGCCTTCTGTCGACGGATGGCCCGCTGCAGATGGACATGAGCAGCGTTCCACGTCTCCTCCGAGCGCCGAATCCATTCGTCCACCGCAGGGGCCTCGATCTGGCTCTCGTGCCATGGTGCCAGGACCGGCTGATACCCCAACACACACTGGAAAGGGGTTAGATTAGTGGAGGAGTGGCGGAGAGAGTTCTGTGCCATCTCTGCCCAGGGGAGATACCTAGACCACTCCTCCGGCCGGCCCTGGCAATAGGACCTCAGAAACCTACCCACATCCTGGTTGACTCGTTCTACCTGCCCATTGCTCTCTGGGTGGTAACCCGAGGTAAGGCTCACCGAGACCCCCAAGCGTTCCATGAACGCCCCCCAGACTCTGGAGGTGAACTGGGGACCTCGGTCAGACACTATATCCTCGGGCACTCCATAGTGCCGGAAAACGTGGGTAAATAGGGCCTCAGCGGTCTGTAGGGCAGTAGGGAGACCTGGCATTGGGAGGAGACGACAGGCCTTAGAAAACCGATCCACAACGACCAAAATAGTGGTATTCCCCTGGGAGGGGGGAAGGTCAGTCACAAAATCCACCGAGAGGTGGGACCATGGTCGTTGTGGAACGGGCAGGGGATGTAACTTTCCCCTGGGCAAATGTCTAGGCGCCTTACACTGGGCGCACACCGAGCAGGAGGAGACATAAACCCTCACATCCCTAGCTAACGTTGGCCACCAGTATTTCACGCTAAGGCAGTGCACTGTCCGACCAATACCTGGATGTCCAGAGGAGGGTGATGTATGAGCCCAATAAATAAGGCGGTCACGAACCTCGAGCGGAACGTACGTCCGCCCCACCGGACACT